CCCAAACCATATTTCCCACATTCGTTATTTATATATAATGCCTGTTGTTGGGCGCACTATGGAAGCATAGTGCCCCCAACAACAGATTAATGTTTTAGTTGCATCACATGAACTGACGCAATCTACTTTTCATGCTTATATACCTTCTTCTTATACTCCCTAATTTGCCGCGTGCTATTCGATGCTACAAAACGCTCGACACAAAACACATACCGCCATTAATTCGAAACTTTGCGTGTGCGCCAGACGCAGGAGATTCGCTGACGTGAACACGAATTGCGTATAATACAATTGTGCGCTCGCGCAAGCAATAGTTGCCTGCTGCAGTTATCCAATTAGGCAATTCAAACGATTTATCACTGTGAGCACTAATACGAGTTATTGTTAGGCCGATTAGGGCAAAGGCCGGCTGTTGATGGTAGGTAACACATAACTCTAACGTTGTTCTCTTTCGTTCTCTCTCCTATCTTGGCGTATCTCTCTCTCTCTCTCTCTCTCTCTCTCTTCTCTCTCTCTCTCTCTCTCGTCTCTCTCTTTCTCTCGCTCTTTCTCTCTCCTCCTCTACTTTCTCTCTCTTGCGGGGATCTTCGCTTCTTTCTCTCCTCTTACCTCCCTCCTCCCTCGCTCCTTCTCTCTCTCTCTCTGTCGCTCTTTTCTCTTTTCCCTCACTCTGTCTCTATCTTCCCTAACCCTAACGCTAACTTCTAACCCTAAACCTAATCGGATGAACAGTTATCCGTCTTCGTTCACCGTACACGCGTGCAGTGACGCTGTCTGCTGCAGTAACACGCGCGGGCAGCAGGACAACGAGTGAGGGAGCTCGCTCCCGACCATGCAGAAATCTCCACGAAGAAACGAATTCTTACAGAGATCTCTCTTACGGTACTCTTACGGTACTCTTACGGTACTCTTACGGTACTCTTACGGTACTCTTACGGTACTCTTCGGTACTCTTACGGTACTCTTACGTTACTCTTACGGTACTCTTTACGGTACTCTTTACGGTCTCATACGGTACTCTTACGGTACTCTTACGGTACTCTTACGGTACTCTTACGGTACGTCTTAACGCGTACTCTTACAGCTACTCTTACGGTTACTCTTACGGTACTCTTACGGTACTCTTACGGTACTCTTACGGTACTCTTACGGTACTCATACGGTACTCTTACGGTACTCTTACGGTACTCTTACGGTACTCTTACGGTACTCATACGGGTACTCTACGGTAACTCACAATAGTAAAGCAGCAGGTTCATGTATACATGTGCAGACGATCTGTGGGGTCTGCTACAAGCTTTTCTCTATTGTGTGTAGTCAGTAGAGAAGTCGGCTGAATCCAAACCTGTGGATGTAAACTCTGACGTCATCACACCCACAGCTAATAACAAGGACAACATCGGTGCTGAACGCAAATCAATATTTCTCTTCCTAAATCGAATCGGTTTCGCGTGATTATAGTGATCGATACGAGAGCTCATCAATAATGAATACGAATGGCTATTGCGGATATATTTTTCGTTTTATCTTCACATTTGCCCAACTTCGTGTAGTCATTAAAAGATAAAAGATTCATGTTTGTTATTTTATTCTTGATATCATTATTTAGAGAGCATAAAAAACGACGTAGTAACAATGTTGTTTTTATTCGCGCCAAAGTTAACCATTTCAATGTTAACAAATATTAAATTATATTAGAAAAGAATCTATATTAGCGACGAATTAACAAACAATAAACAAATCAAAGTGAAAATTATGAAAAAATAATACAAAAACACAAAATACAAGATTTTTTGGTCAAGCTTCCCTAAAACACTCAGGTGTTAATCGTAGAACCAGTCCATTCTACAACAAATATATTCGGATGATATTGAACCTACCTCTATGAATGGTTCGTGCTCAACACAGCAGTTTCATCTTACATCATCATGAGAAGCCATCGTCAACGTTGCAGCTTCTGCGTCCCGTTGCTATCGCGCTAACGGTTCACTTTTTCTCTCGTCTTGTTTTTGTGACACGATCGAGGGAGATTCGACTGAAAAGCACTGAAAAATGACTAGGTTCGAGGGTCGCCAAACTGTGGCTGATCGCACGGTGAAACTCTCGTCTGCTGACGCCAGGCAACCCCCACGCTTTCTGCTGCGATGAGCGCCGACAGGATCTTCGGAAGCGGCGCATGAACGCAAGCAATTCTTTAAGTTATGAGACATTATATATATCTA